AAATGTGTATATATATATATATATATATATATATATAATATATTTTCTCTTTGTCTATAGAATCCACGACGTGACTTGCGTCCGCGTACAAAATTCGTAACAATTCTTATATCGATTTCGAATAGAATTATGATCGGTAATATTCACAGGCTTAACTTACAGCTTAGTCTTAACCTAAGTTACTTGGTGCGGAAGCGGATTTTGAAAGCAAACCGCGTCACTTGCTTCACTTCTTTTTTTTTCATAAAGCACTTTCACATTTTCCACTCAATACATCACCTTTGTACTCTTTTTAATATCTGCAATAATAATACTCATGGTTCGCTTTTCCGACAAAATTTTTTTAATAAATACGTAATCTTATTTTTTATTTTAAAATTATTTTTAGTTAAAATTTTAAAATTATTAATTTTATTTTGCTCTTATTTTATCTTCAAAAGATAACAATCTTTTCTCCTCTTATATAGCGCTGTATCAGAGAGAATTTAAAAGTATATAAAAGCAGCCATTACTCAATCTACTTACAATTAGAAAAATAATCACAATAGAATCAGGCATGAAAGATGATTAAAATATTAATAGTTTTAGAAAACCACGTAATTTAGTGTAGCGAGTAACGCGATTAGCCTGATAGGAGTCCGCGTTGGAATTTATTTCTTCTGCTTGACGAAGAATGAAGATACATATTGCGCTTAGCATCGAACCATGGGTTCGTACTGCTTTTATCGATACTTGACTATCGACTTATCGTCACAAGGGCAGCTTATGTGACTTCAATCGTAAATTCACGCTACATAACGTAAATTCGCTACATAGCTTAGTCTAAACCCGATGCTGCTGCAAAACCTAATCTGTGCCATTTAAAAACTATCATACTGCTTAAACTTTTATCACGTAAGTAGGAAGGCGCGCCTTTATCACGATTGAGCTCGAAACACACGGAAATTTATCGTCATTATTTCGTAACTACTTCATTTGAAATTATTTTTGTAATTAATTTCTACAAGATTTAAAAATGCTATACTAATGAACAATTTAGCGGGTGTCAACGTATAGTATCCAATGAATTATTAATTAAATTAATTTATATTATTAATGCTATTTCGTTAATGCATAATATTATTTTCTGACATTGCCGCATGTTTCGAACCATATCTTCTCGGAACTCTCATGGAATACTGATAGATAATTGAAAAGTCCGAGTTCTCATATTTATGACTCACTTTAAATTAAAAATATAAATAAATGTTTTGCGCAAACAATTCTTCCAATTGTTGATCCGTCAAATAAATTTGACATTACATTTCTTTCGAATAAGTGCATATATAACTAATCTTAGTGCGATTGAAATATCGAGAAGAAGAGAGAAAAAGAGAAATATTTTTATGGCATATAAACCTAGGAATATGTTTCATTTATTGAAAGCACGAGTCAGATTAAGAGGATAAAAAAATCGGACGTAGCGCTTAAGCATACTCTAGGACTTTTTCTGATAAACTCGATAAAAATCGATAACAACGAGATCCGTTTCCCCGCTTTTTGCAAATTTTTCCTAAGTGATATTGCTCGATCGCTTAAATTTAGAAAATAAAGTACGCTGGAGCCATTCGGAGATGATTTCGGTGGGATCACTCCCGTGCCGGGGGGTGAGCCCTTGGTAGCAGTCAGTATTCCTCTTCGTCTTCCTCGAATTCGTCCTCTGCCAAGATGCTGAAAGAACAAAAAAAGTCACTGAATTACAGACATGAAAAGGAGAACAAGTAATCTGAAAATTACAAGATGAATGGAAGAATTACTTTGACAATTGAAATTCTGCAAATCATACAATATCTAAAAGCTAAAAATGAAAGAAAAATATGTGTGACATAATTTTAAAAAATGACGAATTCATCAACGTTCGACCTTTCATTTACGCAATACTCAATTACCGAGTATATTTCTCGACATTGACAATCATAGTGATCGTATGACTTCAAAGTAATTCCGTAGAATAAAATTTCTGCTAGCCCGTACCGGGCACTGCATACATACACTTACTCTTCCTTTCTAGCATACTTGTCCATGAGATTGCGACTCGATCCGCCGCAAGTCTTGTTGATCGGCGGACAGTACCAATAGCACAGCACACCGAGCGTCGTAGCGAACAGTACTATGGGTACGATCAAGGCTAACACCAAATGCCTCAGATTCTCATCCCACGAATATCTACAAATATGAAATAGTGAAGCTGTGCTCTTTACTAATAAGAAATAGACGGTTGTGCAAACTAATGTACAGTTTTTTAAATAACAACACAGTCATAAAACTATAATTATTCTGATAGTGCGCCATTACATCAATAATTTCTTCAAATTTTTGTCCTGATTAAAAATTGTGGCATTACAACACCGTTTAGTTTATATTTATATTTAGACGATTAATTGTGTAACTACTAGTACCGCAACGAGTGCATGAATAACAATTTTTAATATCCGAGTAACAGTTTGAAGAAATCGATATAATGGTGTATTAATAATTAGTTTCGTGATTGTATGTTTAAAGGAGCTCACGATCAATCATGTTGAGCAACGTTGCCTGCTGTGTAACATGATTGATTGTGAATGAGGTTGATTGACGATTTACTATTGTGTAAAATAAAAATCTCCTAATATTTTTGACCTATTTACTTCGTGAGTAATGGCATAAATGAAAATGTTAAAAAGGGACTAATTTTTGTCAAAAAAGTTGTAAATAAAAGAAGTACTGTTTTTCTTTTGCAAATTTTAATTTCTTGAATACGATAAAATTATTAAAAAGCTTGTATCGTTTGGAAAACATCTCGAAAATTGAGCAAGAACATTGAAATGAGAGATAAATGCACCACGTTCTCCTCAATTTTTTAATTGTTCTCTGAATACTATGAACTTTTTAATAATTTTATTATATCAAGGAGGTTGAAATCTATTAAAAATACTATTTCTTTTACCTTATACATTTTTTTTAGGGTAAAAATTGACCCTTAATATCCTTCTTTGCCAATTTGAACCTGATAAAGTGTATGTATGTATCTGCGCGATTAATACAACTGAATTTTGCGCAATAAAATGCCAGCATGCGTGAAATTTTACTTTATACAACATTGGTTACGTTTCGTAAAGCGCATGGTGACATGATGTATCATATTATCCTTATCGTTCCTTAAATATTAAACAAAGATAAAATAATACACCATGTACATTAAGCTCTCTAAAATTTTTAGAGTGAATCTCATTTTGAAGAATGAAATCTCACTCTTAAAGATTGAAAATGGAGTCACTCTTTTCCAAAACTGGTGCAATTTTTATTCTTTAGAGTGAGATTTCACTTCAAAGAGTTTAAAGATATAAAGTCCGCTTTGGAACGCAATTATTATATGTTGCACAATTTTTCAAGCAGCTTGATTAATCGTGAATGGGCCTCTTTTTATACGAAAAACAGACTAGCGCATTATACTTGTTTTAAGAATTGAATTCATACATACATCATCTCACTGATCATACCTTGCGACAACTGTCTCTGGATGTGTTCTACTGTAATAACAGGGAAATATCTTTCCCATATTTCCATAGGCGTATTTCTTGGCGAAAATAGTACAGTTGACTGTGGGCGGGTAGCCGCATCCTTCTGTGTTCACAAAGAATTTGGTATCGGTGACGTCCCATGGTATTGAACCCAATGGCTTCGCCGTGAATTCCTCGTATGGTAGTCTGGTGTAATTGACTTTGATTTGATGACAACGAAGCGCAGCACTCGTACAACCTAGATAATATTATAATAATTATATGATCGATTACATTTGAACACTTGTTAAACGTGAATAGGAAAGGGATCAAGGATTCACCTTCTCTACAGCTCGCCCACGAACAGTTTTTCAACCCCTCCGCGTACACGTGCTCCGTCGTAACGCAAGCGACAGCATGAGGCGAGAAATCCGCCAGAATGGTGGTTATCGCCGGCTCGACGACGAACGGGATCAGAAACAGGAAGGCGAAAACCGCAAGAATGGCTGTAGTGCCCAGGCAGACCGAAGTATAAAACTTGGCTTTATCGATCATGGCGCCGATCTTGGACTCCTCCACCTGGACGCCCATTATCACCGTCGATTCGTCAGAATCAATGATTGCGGCCTTTTGTGGGTCACGAGGACCCTACTCGTAATTTACTTAAAAGTTTCTCGAAAGATGCGTACAGCCACGATTTGTGGCCGATTCAGAACACGTCCGAAAAGACGTGCTTGTGGTCCACTTACGACACCTCGATTCACACTGTGACTCCTTCTTGTCCGATGGCTGCAGCGGGAGAGGAAATAATTTTCCTCGAATGAGGAGTGAAATATTATATCTATAACGCAGACTAATTAAGCAACCTTGATGAAAATATAATTTTATTTATTTAAGAATTAATCTAGAAACTTGTAAAATTGGACAAGACATGATATGACGAAGCAAATAACAATTATTCAACTTTTTAGATGTAAATAGAACGTATGAATATAAAAAACTTTGGAATATGAAGCTTCTTGAGGTAAAGATCTTCGAGCTTGAGTAGGCCGACTTTCGTCGATATTGCTAGATTGCACGTTGTCGTTCGTACTTCTGGTGATTATGATGAGTTGCAGTTAAGATAAGCAAAGTTATCGAGAGCTCGTTTCATGTCAATCATCCATCAGCAAGGCGCGCCTCTTGGCTGTTAAACTTTAGCTACTTGGTCGCGGCAAATCAATCAGAAAAGGGGAACCTCTTAAAAGCTACGAATGTCACGTGTGAAAAACGCCAAACTCGAGTAAATCTTCTTTCTTGAACCGTTATTTCCTTTCTGAACGAGAGAATCGGTGCGGAATTATACGTTCGGTATCGTGACAACATCTGCTCGTGTCACATAAGCATGCGTGCGCGGTCTTTCAAATATTTAGTGCAGGCAGTGCGAGTAGATAAATTCTTCCTGATCTCTTTGTTGTCTGACCACTCTTTTTCGCTTCGTTTTCTTGGTACTTTTGCAGAAATGTGTACGTATTGCGTTTTTTGTTTTATTAAATTACAAGATGAGAATTTTTTATCACGCGTTCCCCCCCTCCCCACACCTCAGTAATGCCCGCGCAGGGAGAATATCGACTGACGAGCCGGACTCTCCTCCAGGAGGGGAATGCCTGTTAACACAACATTAAAATCTATATTGCAACATTAATAAAAGTGATTGTCTATCAGTAAACAGCTCGCGGATTTCTCTTTTTGAATTTAATGAGCTTTGGACTTCGTAGAATAATTCATAATAAATAACATACAACAAGTATCATATTTATTCTTATACAGATTTAATTGAATGATATATTTGTTTAAAGTTATTTAAATATTCTTCTAAAATAGTCAAATCGAACAATTGCTTTTTATTTGGTAATCTCAATTAATCGTAATAACGTTGACCGAGTTTTTAATCTGCGGATTGCAAAATAAGGAAATAATATTACGCTGTATCTCTATAGCAACACAAATACTGAAACAAATACATCTTCAATGCGACAGTGTATTCCTGAAAAGATCAATCCTTTAACGGCGAGTGTAGCATATTTACAACATTCACGATATATCATAGATTTACATCTAGAAATGTATGAATGTATCAGAAAATTCAGCATCTATATGTTTAATTGCACTTAAGAATTGAGGATGCAAAAAAAATGTGTGCAGCATTGAATATTGAAAATATAATGCTTATTTCTTATTGCCAAAAAAGCTGTACATCGATAAATCAATAAATCGAGATATTAATAGGTTTTTCACTTACAAGATTTTTGAGAAAAATTAATCAAAAAAAGTTTTTTAAATATAACGGTGTTCCCGTTAAAGGATTAAATTTTGTTCTTACATCACGATAATATACATTGAACATAAATCACTGATGTTTCTCTTTAAAAATTGTTAACTTATTACAAACGAAAATTTAATTGAAATTCAAAATATATATTTTTATTATGATAGATGATAGATGATACATTCATGTAAAATTAAATGTCTTGAATGTTAAATGCTGTTTTAATCTCTCTAACATTTGTATTCAGAAAAAATGTATTTCTTATACTGATATACTCTACACATATCCAAAGCTCGTATTATTTTTCCTTGATGAAAAGATAATAACAAAATATTAGAGAGTAATGAGCGTTGGAAAAATAATTCAATTCACATATATTACTTTAGGTCTGATTTTATTAAAAATTACAGTATCTTCATGCCATGCTATTTAAATAGTTTAGATTTATAAACTAAGAAATTTGCACAATGATAAGAATTATTATAAAAGTTATAATAGTTATTAAATAATTATAAAAATTATTATTACTACAACGATCGCGCAAAATGATTAATTTCTATCGAATGAGATAAAAAAGAAGAGAAGAGAGAAGAAGGTGTAATTTTAGACAATTATATTGTCAAGTCGCGGATGAAAGTTACATAAAATGAGTTTATAAATCAATATTGTAAACTACAAGACAAAGAGGAATCGAATAAAACACATTTTGTAATGTGAAAGAGCTGATTTAGAGCGATACAACTAATTATAACACCATGCCTTAGAACGCAACTATTTTCTGCCGAAAACAAGTCTTACGTGACGGATCTCAGAGCGCCATGACGGAGTCTCCTCCGCCAGCATCCCCTAAGTTGCCCGACGCGCTTCTCTCTATCGAGACCAGCGTGCCGGGCGTGCCCTTGAACCTCATTTTAGCGTCGTCTCCGACGACGACTGTTCTCTGACAGAAGATCAGAGTCAGACAGCTGACGACAAACAAAATACTCGGCAGCAATAACGCGATTATGAACTCTCTATAGGTTGTGTGTAGATCGAATCGTGACACGACAACGCCCGTGTTATCCTCAGCGTAGTAACACGGAAATCTAGCACGCGCGTTATGATCGGACCCGTCCTTCCCGTATTCGTGAAGAAATTCTTTGCACTCATCCCGAAGCGTGTTCACGCATCCCTCGAGGTTGATCAACAATTTACTCTCGTTGGCGATGATCAGGCTCTGCTCCGGCGGTGCGACTAACTTGTCGTTGTCCAGGGGTTTCGTGGCGAATATATTTAAGTAGGACAAGTAAGTGAAGTTCGTCAGATCGCTTAGCAGATCTTTCTCCAACACGGAACCGTTGATGCAGTCGACCGCTTCCACGCCCAACGTGGAGTTAAAGATCCCGTAGCAGGAGGCCATCATGACGTCGCCACGATCTTCGTGCCATATCTCGCGATTACTTGCCACGTCTATAGCTCGCTCGCATTGGCTCAAGTACACCTTGTCGCCGCTGAGAAGGATCATATTCTTATTCCTGGTTGGGATATCGACGCACCTGCGATCGCAATTGTAGGGAGTGCGTATGCGCTCGCAGGTGCCGCGATTACAATTGAATAGGCCGTCTATGTCTATACAAGTGATCTTGCCACGACGACCTGAACACTTAAGGGGTGGATCTGTGTCGTGGAACATGCACTCGAAGGCGTCGGTGATGTTGATGCAGGTGCCCGCGGAGCAGTTGAATGTCCCGGTCAGATTGCGACACTCGTCCGCGATGCACTTTGATTTCTTCGCGTTCTCCTGATCGATACCGTAGCAAGTCTTATTCGTCGTGTTCGTACAGTTCGCTAACAGAATCGTGGATCCGTTCCTGCGGAGATTCACATGAATCTGCACGCAGGGCCCGGAGGTCTTGGACAAACACCATTCGCCACAACTACCCCAGTCGCAATTGTCAGCGTTCACCGCTCGAATTGTTGTGCACATCACAGGCACTTCGCTGATGCCCGATTGAAATGCCCGTCCACTGGGCATGTAGATCGCGACCGTCAGATACACCAACGCGACCGAGGACAGCACCATCGTCATCTGACAGATGCAGATCGTGCCGCAGATGCGGCCATCCTGCGGTGGTATCACCAGGTTCTCCACCGGAACTGGCTTCGGCATTCTGCTCCGATTGGATTGATCGCTTACCAATCGATTGTCTACGTGCACTTGTTCATCTTATGTGGACGAAGGTGTAACTGATGTTTGCTAGATAAACATGTTATTTATGTTCATTCGAATAGGTTGAAGAAGACTCGACGGTGATTTAACAACTATTTAGAGTCCATAAATCAATCGAAGGTTTTTCGTATTTTTCTTCAACAATCTCATCAGCATTTGTAAAGAAAAAAGATTACTCTTGAGTTCTCCAACATCCTGATAAGATATGCCAAATAAAAATCTTCAAATTGTGCACATCATTATTATTACTAGCTATTATGTAAGTCAAAATTGCACTCTTATTGATGAAATTCCACAACACTCGTGCTTGCTGAATGGGAAACGATAATTATTTTAACAAAGATAGTTTTATTAAACAGACTTTCGAGCGTTTCAACCACCAAAAATTAAGCGATTAATGTTGTTGCACTAGCTTTCTACATTTCGCGGCGCGTCGCGAGGATCGTTGGTCGCAACATTCCGTATCACATCATAAACACGACGCGGCGTTGATAATTCAGCTTTTATCTCGATCTTTACGTTACTTTTCGCAAAATCGCGAATTTGTCGAATCCCGCCCCACGCAGAAATATAAGCGCGTTTGCATCATCGGCATTCCACGTCAGAGGTTTCCACGCGCGTAAAAGTCTCTTTCCTTTTTACCGCAGGACGAGTCTACCCGCGCGCATGTTCTGTCCCGGTCCTCGTGTAATATGCGCCGACGGCACCCTCGCGCGAAGACGCGCATTGATCGCGGTGCCGCGCGACTGCGCATCGCCGGACTGCAACGGTACCGTCCGCGTTACCGCAATTGACGTCATGTACTACGAAGACGTCTAAGGGAGGATGATGCAGGGTGATCTCCAGAGATGGCGGGTTTCGATCAATTCGGACCAGCTGGTCGCGATTTTTCGAAATTTTTCGCGAGTCGCCAGACGACAATAAGAGTTGGAGAACGTCAGAATTTCTTTAGGACATTTTTTTATATTTTCCTATTTTTTAAAAGATTTATATGATTTGTATAAGAGTTCTTAAGTTGGATTTAATTATTATACATCATTTGAAAACTTTCATTTAAGGTTAAAACCTGATGAACTGGTAATGATGCGAGTTAAGTAAAGATTTTCTAAGAAAACTTTAAAAATAGTCAAGCATGCTATGAAGAACCATAATAAAATCACTGCTGAGAATAAAGTAGGTTAAAGCAAAGTGTCCCAAGTACGAAGCGGAATAATTTCCAACTGCATTCATCTAATGTGGATTACATGTATATGCGTTGCAGACAGTGACGTATAGTAAGAGAAAACAACGTCCGTTCCATTATAATCTCATGTTTTCTTTACTACACTATTAACGTCAATCACTGATAGACTAATTAACAGATAGCTTTTTCAATTTGTTAAGCAGTATCTTTGTTTGCATTTTATCCCTTTTCTTTCACATACAATATACT